AGAATAGATGAATTTTTAGCTTGTATTTGAATCCAAGATTCGCTTTAAGTTATATTTTGAACTTATCAGCTACATATATCTACATACTAGTTTTAATGTTTACAATTAGACTGGGATTCTCTACATATTACTTTGCATGATAAGACATTAATCATTGTGAAAGCAAGTCCAGATATTCACTAACATGTCGAATTTGTTGTCGCACGGTAGATAAAAGACTGTCACTTGAAGTTAAACGTACTCACTTTAAGAACAATTTTAACGTTAACACTGATATAAATTAGTAGCTACATTGTTATAAAATCAATCATAAACACATCAACTGTTTGTACCGACGACGTACGAAATAATATGTTTCATTTCAATAAAAACCTTATTCCAAACATAATACTGTCCTCTAAACATTGTGTTATTTAAAAACACTACCCATAGGTGTTTTCAAATGCAAAAAGTTTTTCTTTAAAGGCTTATTGGTTTCAAGGAACAAAAAAATGTTACGATAGTGACTTCTAATTTCTGCATAAAATTTCAAAAATATATATCACCAGTGAATCATTTAGTTCCCAATAACATGAATAGCTCTGAAGAAGCGGTTTACACTAAGTTACGAAACGTCAAAATCAAGATTTTTCTACTCATGGGAAATAACAAGAATAAATTAACTAGTGTGGCTTTGGTCAGCTACTGATACTATTCACTATTATAACCATTTGTTAGTTTTCTTTTTATTCATACTTAAAAATGGTATTACGTCAGATTACTGTGCATTACTATACCCTTTACTATAAAGTAAATAGTCCATCAATTGGCAAACTACATTTTCTTACACACCAATATAATTTTCAAAATATTATTCTTTGTAATCTTTTTAAAATATTTACTTCATATTTTATTATCATAACCACATACACTACTTTAACCGCTTCATTTTAATTACTTTTTTCTGTATATATAAACATATATTACTTATCTTTTATCCTTGATTAGTTCTATTTTTAATAAAATTAAATCAAAAAAAGTTCCAAATTTAATCTAAACAGAAGAAAACAAGTCAATAACTATGTAGATACAAAACAAAAAGTAGAAACTTTGTTTCACTTTGATTTTTCGATCGTTTAAAGATTAAATAAACAAATATTAAAAATAATACTAATAGTAGCAGTAGGAAAATGAAGAAGAAAATTAATTGTGAACCATCTGAAAAGGAAACAAACAAAAATACAATTTGTATTTTGTGCTTCAATTGATTGAGTAACTTATTACAGTTTTGTTTTTTTAATTTTTAATAACTGAAGTAACGTATGCTTCGTTGGTCTGTAAAGCTATATATATATATATATATATATATATATATATATAGTTTAGATCCTCAAACATTTTATAATTGACCTTAACTAATACCATCATTTTAAGAAAAATGTATTCGACTGCCTTAAGTTAAAATATTTCACTGTACCTATCAACTATATAGTTTGTATTATAATCTGTTTGATCTGCGATACCATATCGCCCTTTAATTGAGATCATGAACCGATTAATGTTAGACCATCACAATTGAAAACCTGGAAGCACTGGACGGCCGTTTCGTCCTATTGTGGGACTCCTCAGCAGTGCGCATCCACGATCCCGCGAGCGGGATTCGAACCCAGGGCCTTCGGTCTCGCGTGCGAACGCGAAACGGCCGTCCAGTGCTTCCAGGTTTTCAATTGTGATGGTCTAACATTAATCGGTTCATGATCTCAATCAAAATCTTAATAATCTCCACAACCCCTATACTAGTAATTAACATGTGCTCACTTGTGACTAGCTTCGTGAGGGAATTCTCGGAGTTCTAGTGAGAAGCCGTGATCAGTGGAGCTAATCCTTGTCGGGTAGAGACAGGTATCTACCTCAGTACAATGGAAGTTGGTCGCGCAATTTCGTGGATTGGTTGATGTTAGAAACTATCACCATTAGATGCCGGCTCAGTGGTCCAGTTGGTTAAGCGTTCGCGCGCGAGACCGAAGGCCCTGGGTTCGAATCCCGCTCGCGGGATCGTGGATGCGCACTGCTGAGGAGTCCCACAATAGGACGAAACGGCCGTCCAGTGCTTCCAGGTTTTCAATTGTGATGGTCTAACATTAATCGGTTCATGATCTCAATCAAAATCTTAATAATCTCCACAACCCCTATACTAGTATATCGCCCTTTAGTTGAATAGAATAACTAATAGTTGTTTTCATATCCCATAAAGTTATTAACTTTAGCAAATAGTAGCACATATGTTTAATCTATACATTTTGTTCTTTATATTTCAGAAATCACTTTAAAAATGGTCATGAAATAGTGAGATAATAATAATAAGTAGATGAACTAATTGGCAAGGTAGTGTTGAATAAGATAGAAATAGATTTCTGTCAAAATTACATTCAGTTCTTTGTAAAATAAAATAGTCAAAAAGCGGTTCATCTAAGGTTTTTGATTCAAGATCATTAGTAGTCCTGATGACTTTTAAATTGAAAGAAGCATGAATCTTTCATGATTTGATTCCCTGATACCCACAGTTTATAACAAAATTTCAATTCGATCTAAACAATATTTTCAAGTGAGCGTTTCAGATTAAATATAAAATTCAGGGTGATTTATGATGGTTCATAGACTATGAATACTGGTAAAGAATAATTACCTCAATTGTATGAATAACAGATAATAAACGGTCAACGTACTATAACATTATCTATTTCTGTGATTTTTTTACATTTACATGTATATACTATTAAAATAACTATAAAAATAGTATTTAATTGTACAACCTGTTATATCTGTAATTAGCTTGCTGTCTTTTATATGCTCAGAACGTCATTCTATAAATTATGGTTACCGTGGTTACATTATTTAATAAATATTAGATGGTTATACTGTCGTAAATGTCATAACAAGTTTATTTCAAATCTGTTCAGTTCAATTAAGAATGTAACAATAATCAGACAATCGAAATCTTAATTTCACTTACAACCTAGAAAACTCCATTTTTATCCAGGATAAGATGTAGAAGTGACCAAATAACAAGGAGAAGAAGAGTAATTGTAACAATAAAGGTAGAATGTTCATCATTGCCATTGAAAATATTAGTAGCAGCAATGGTATGAGTGATACCACAGTCTTTGTAGAATAATGAAATGACAAAATGTACAATGTATTTTAGCATTACAAGCAGATCATGAATTCAACCTTAAAAAATTTCAGATTTATGTATGAACAGCTGAACCTTATGAATTATTTTTAAAGAAAAAAACCGGAAAATTTAAATCGATCATCTCTTTGAATCAACTATTTTATTTACAAATCAAAACTAACAGACCAATTATCTAATAATAGTTTTTGTCTGAAAATTATATCACTATAAGGATTACTGAGTACTATGAAATGATAAACAGTCGACCTAGCGACCTAGCCTAGTGTTTTTCAGAAGTTTACACATACAGCTACGCATGAAATGGAACCTGGATCCACTTGACCCTCATAGAGATCATGATATCTCTAAAACACTGGTTCAAAATTTGATTGGAAATACTTTAATTCTTCTGTTATGTATTTAATCAACTATCCGTTGATGATCAGTCTTTCAATTAATTTCATTATCGCATTAATAGTTACCTTTATACTGACCATTATTTCTACATACTTTATACACAAACGACATCAATTATCTCATGAACGTTTAACAAATGGACCTCATAGAAGATATTCAGATTTTCATTGAAAAGCATTACGATTTACCCTTAACCAATGAGTTTTATTTACATCATATAGATGTTCCTGACTAATCTTCATAATGAAGTAACAAAGTCCTATAAAAATAGATCGTTTATCATAATGAAATTTGAGAAATAGTAAACAAAATCTTCAGGTCGTTTCACCAGTTCTACTTGATTATTGGGATATCTGAATCAGAGTAATTTTGACACACTGTTAACAAATTAAAAAAATTCACTGATAACAAACAAACAGTAAACAAATCGACAGACATACATAAGTTGCACAAAAATAACTAAACAATACATTTTTAAGAAAAAGAGTGAGGAAAATGTTAGATTGCTCACTACACCTGAGGCCATATGCTTTCCTTTTGTTTGTAAAATGTGACCTATTTTTACAAAATTGATAATATAAACAGGTGAGTATTATTTATTTTAACTATGTGTGGTATTGGAGAACCTATAGACATAAATGTTTTCATCAGAGTAGAGTGAACCAAAAACCCAGAAACTCTTTTTCCTAGACTAATAAGTGAAAAAATATTCTACTTAAATATGATTGGTTTAAAAGAAATTATATCTAAAACGTATATTCCTCAACCCAAAACTCCAGAATCAAGACACATTTCAGGTTTGAGCAATGGCTACTAACTAATTACAGAAATGATGGATGTGAATATGTTTATTACATAATAAATAAAGTCTTTTTTTTTCTGGAGTAATGAAAAAACTGGAATATTTTAAATTTTAAGAAATTTCTGTTTGCTGATGTTAAAATGGTGGTAATCTATGAAAGAAGCTTATGTATAAGGGAGGAAACTGTGAATCCAACATTACGGTGGAGTGGTTACATAGTTTAATATGTGAAAATGTGTCTGATTTTGAAATATCGCAAGAGAATATGGATAGTGAGAAGTGATAATAATGAGGTCTGTTCCATGGAATCAATTATTCCTCGCTGTTTAAATCATTTAATATTATTTGCATTAGTGTTATCAACTCCGTTAAGTATTCAATCCACAAAAAGCATGCATAAACGTCAGTTATACTCGGATACATTAAATTTATTTACTGGAAATATTTCTAAATTACCTCCTGTTGGATTACCCACTATTTTAAATTGGCGTACTAATTTATCTTTGGATTTTTTTTCTATGTCTAAATCTAAATTCAACCGAACAAAACCAATTCAAACAATAACATCTTATTTGAATGTATATCCTCATATGATACTGGATGTAAATAAATCTAATAACGATGCAGATGGACTTATATCTCAAAGAACTTCTTCCTTACCTAAATCTCCATCCCTTTTTGTCGATCAATCTGGTCCATGTACTCCTGAAGAAGAAGCAAAGAAATCACAATGTCTACGAGAATTACCAGCTGAACGATATGAAGTACTTGAAGGTGAAACAGTTTTAATGCGGTGTCGTGTAGCTAATCAAAGGGGGAAAGCACAGTGGCGTGCTAGAAACTTTTTATTAGGTGAGTAGATTAAATATTTCTATGAGTACTTTAACTAATAGATGCTTTGTTTTGTTATTTGTATGATAGTTTTCAATTAAAAAATAAAAGCATAACAGTGGAAAAAGTTTATGAAATGTTTTTAAACTTATCATTGTCTGTATGATATTATCTGAATATTTTGTACTTTTTATGAATCACAGTGACCACTGTAGAGTTGAAAAGAATAAACGTAGAAAAATACTGTCCAATATCCACTGGTTCTTAATGATTCTCTGCACTATAAACTATCATGAAGATTTTTCTTTAGCAATGGAAAATAAGGTTATTTTCATTGATTAGCATGTGTTGAAGAAATAAAACGCCACAAATCACAATATTATACGCACAAATATTTTGGTGAATCAGCCATATAATGTGCAATGAGATCAGTTTTTTTCTCTTTGTTTACAAAAGTATCAAATGTAGAAACTTTCGGTGGTTAAGAATATGAGCCATTTGAAGCTAGACTACCATGGAAAACCTGGAAGCACAATAGGACGAAACGGCCGTCCAGTGCTTCCAGGTTTTCCATGGTGGTCTAGCTTCAACTGACTTATGATCTTAACCATTGAAATTACTATATTATCTACAAAACCCATCTGATATAAATGTAGAAACTTTGTTCAAGGTTACTACTAGGTCGTAAAAATGAATATGAAGTAACAACTAATAGAATTCGAGACATAATAGTAATTTACACATGAACAGTCATCAATAGAGAATATGTATTAGACACTATTCTTCATTTCAATTATGAAATAATCAGTTATTGTGATGTATATTTCTGTTTCCAAAATGATACAGAATATATTAAAGATCCTACATAAATGTGTCTTACCCCAAAAAAAGTTTGTTTTAAAATGTTAATTGTTTTCATGAAAGTCAACTAATTCTTTATTAAAAATAATATGAAATGTTAAAATCAATAGCCTCCATCACTCTTTAGAACCTTTATTGTACATTATAAAGAAATGTGTAACTCAACAATATAACGTTTTTCACTTTAATTCTATAACTATTTATATACATTAACATTTTCAATGATCCATCTTGAAAAACTGGAATGTTATTCATGTGATTTCATATAAGATCCATTAAACATCTTCAATGTTGAATTCATAGTTTGAAGTTGATGATGAAATATGTTCAAGGTTGATGAGTGTAATTCACTTGAATTTCATTTGAAAAATAAATTTCAATGAAATCCTTATTATATTGTTAAAAGGTAACAATGCAGTTTGAAAGTGTATTACATAACAATCTACAATCATTATACACAAATGTACCTGACCTTCATCAGTAGATAGTAAACGATTTAATAATGTCAAATGCATAATAGCTTAAATAATTTGTTAGCAAATAACAAATGGTAACATTGACATCTAAGTGAAATGCAGGTAATTGATCGACAGTAAAACAGTATTCGTTTCAAACTTGTTTTTACTCACATTACTAATAAACAGTATTAAGTATATAGATGGAAATCTAAATTTGAGAGATAAACTTTTATTAATATTTTTGAGAACAGTTTAATTTGAAAAATAAGATTGCCTTCTTTTTTCTATTCAAATCAAATTTTAACCATAATGTCTTATAACCAGTTATTCAAAGTAATTTTGTAATTGCTTTTCTACTGGTGACAAAATATTAAGCTAGTTATTAAGCTAATAGATTTCTATGAATCTAATTATGCTTATTTATCAATTCGTTGATTATTCGATTCATTTAATGAAGTGAAGATAATAACACTAGTTTAAATTTAAGTGGAAAGTGGTTGAGATAGAGATTTCTTTGTCATTAGCCTCAAGCTTAAATAATGTGTAGATAAACAGAACAGGTATGAATCAACATTATCCACAATCCCAGTTGACAGTATATCGATCCGCCTAATCATATGAAGGTAATTTAAAATAATTTATAATCAAATAAAATAATGTTTCAAAAGTCCTAAAATTTATGACACATATATTTGAAAATGTTTTCTTATCTGGCAACACAAGTCCCTTGATGGTGAATTATGAATGTAGTTTTATTTGAAGAGAACACCGAATTCAAACACTTATGAAACAATCGGATTTATAAATTTGCAAACTCACATAATTACCATCTTTTCGATCTTTATTATTTCGTCTTGAATATACTGTTTATTTGGGAATTCTAAATTCTAAATTTTGCTAAAACATTTGTCATTGGAAATATATACAATGCTGTCATATTGCAGATAAACTGAATTTAGTGTTTTCGCATACAACTTATCATCACATGTATGATAACGACGTATTCTATTCCATTTGCCATCTTGTGCATCCATATACAGTCAGCAGAGTAGTCAGAATATTCCGTTTAGTAAGATGAAGCACACACTAAATTGATTTCCAAACAAGAGGAAAGCTCTTAACCAAACCAATATGTAAGCATTCATAATACTTCATAAGCAAATGTAACAGATTCAGATCAGATTTAAGGTTCTTTGAAATATCGGTAGTGTACTTAAATGTTTTGCTAAATATTTTGTAGTTGGGCACATATAGCAATACAGCAGCTTATTTTAAAGTTTATTTGAACTGAATAATTATGAGTCCTATCTGTTTGCATTTACTCTGCGTTATGAAGTGTTTACAAACTATCATGATGCTCAACACTCCAAATCTCAAAACAAAACACTTAGTTTCTAGTTTATTCTCTTCTGTCTCTAAGCTTCTGAGGAAAAACGAGTGACAAATATAGTGTAATTCTTGCATTTCGTTTCTGGGAGTTGGAAAATATTAACTTTCCCAGTCGGAGATGAGTATAAAATATTGATTACTAAGAAATGTTAATAATTTTCATATAATAATAGTCTAAACTTATGTTAAGGAGAAACAGTTCACAATTTCGAACTGTTGGTACTGAAGAATAAAATTATTATCATTATTATTATTTTGATCAAAACACTTGAGCGACATACGAAAACTGGTAAAGAAGCAAGCCTCCAGGAAATTGAATTTTTCTTTTTGCGTCATAAAGCAATCTTTTCTCATTTGACACCTCACAGTATCAGTGTGAAAACTGATCACTCTCTATTCCATAACTATTTTCCAACAAAACAAAGGATTAATTGGTGTCTGTATTTTTCAACTAGTAATGGAAATTTTCATTTATGCCTACACTGTTTATCATAGCTACATTGTCCCGTGTTTTCCTATCAACACATATATATAAATCTAATAATAAAAAAGGTTATGATCCCATCGTTTATATGTGCTTTCACGTTGATGATAAAGAAACTGTCATTTTTCATTTCATTGAATATTCTTATTGAGACATTAAAAAAACAAGCTGAGCGAAGAAATATTTCTTTTTAATTAGATCTTCATCAAGTCTCTACACTAATACATGTTTTATATGTGAGGAGAAAATCGATACCAATTACATGGTTGTTAATCAATTTAACAAAATAGTAAACTGTTAGTTACAAAACGTTTGGAAAATTAAAATTAAAAATATAATCGAAGTAAATTCCCATAATCCGTTAATTATTACAAATAGTTACATAATCAAAATTGGATGTAAATATAAGTGTTTTTGTTACTTATGAAGTTGTTAAGTAATAAGTAGGACGGATACCGTGAAAATTAGATAATATGATTAACAAAGTGGTTAAATAATATTAGAATTATAAATTTATGTGTTAATCAAATCGAATTCCAGAAATTTTTCATAGAAGAGGAAGAAAGGTCTTGAAGTATGTATTGGTATCTATGTAGAAGGCCAAGTTAGATTCAGAGGTTTCGGTAGATTTCCATTCTCTGAGCTGGATGGTCTGGTTGTGGAGCTTTTATAGTTATTCTGAACGAAGTATTATAGAGTTGAAGTGTTCAAATTTTTCCGCGTATGGCTCACAGCTAGTCCTGTAGACCTTGAACTTGTTTCGTTATTGCTGACCATCAGCCTGTCATTATTTACTTCGTTATTTCGATTAAAAATAAAGGATAACAATGAGAGCTTCACGACCAAACCATCGGGCTCAGAGAACAAAAATCCACTAAAATCATCCACCTGAGCCAAAAATCTCCACGAGCTTAGATTCCAAGATTGTATAAACTTCTTTTATGTACAAAGGCTTATTGAGAAATATTCCTATGGCTTCTACTATGTGCATGAGTCGGATTCCGGAACCATAAGATACATTCGATGAGATTTTGTAAAGAATTAGAAACGCTCAATTTCCACCTATATGGTGACCGTAAAGGATGATAAACATGTAGATGCAATTGATTTAAGGTGCAATTACATTGGCTGAAATAAGTAAATAAAAATATCTGTTTAGTAGAATCATAACAAATTAAAATCATGCATCATTGTCATGAACATTCGGTTAACAGTTATATCATTGTCTCTAGATCCATAAAAGACCTTAATATATCTACTGAAAATTCATAAAGCACTAACTTAATGTTATTTAATTTTTTGTACTGATTACCGTTTGAACTATTATATTATGTTATTTGCTTTATTCAGTACTATATTTTTGGTACACAATAGAATTCTCAGTACATAGTATTTTAACAAGTTTCCGTTTCTTACTTCTTGGTCGATCCTGACGATAAATTTTGACTGATTGCCAGTGGGATGTTAGCAGTCCAGTCAATCGACATCTAAATAACGTAATTTTTTTCGCTACATATTGCCAGCAACCACGATAACTCTGACTGGATCTTCTTCCATTTGTACAACGAAATGTTGTACACTTTTGAGAAACGCACCTGAATAGGTTATACGATTAAGTCATAGTGTTGTATTAAAACAAACAAAATTAGATAACTTGTTGAAATATCTAGATGGCAGAAACAGGCAGCACAGATGTTCAAGCGGGCCGTTACTGACTTGATTTGCATTTGACATTTGTCAAGTCTAATACTAGTGATATACCATCTTGATTATGTGGATTATAAGAGTGTATTTTTAAAGATTTATTTCTAATATCAGTAGGCATTATT